CAGCTTTAAACTGCAAAGATTGATAATTTGAGAAAAAAGGAGAACGTCTTTTTTCTATGAGTTTAAGTAGTCTTCGAGATACATAATGTCAAAGTTTTTAAAAAAAGTCTTTTCTTGGTACGTCTACATTCAGTATAAAGGTACTGAACCAACCCGCTAACCACTTTTCCACAGGAATACATGCAGCTGACAATTTTTTTCGTAATATTAACACTAGCTAAAATTTTCAACTATCGGTTATGGTTCTTACAATTTCGATTTTTTGCCCCTTTCCGACCCCCAGCTGACATTTACTGGTGACAATGAATAATCTTCATTAAAAAACAAAATGTTTGTCAGATAACTTTTTTTCGATGTTTCTTCATCTAACTTCACACTCACTAACCAAAATATGAACAACTTGTACACAGAGCGTCCCAGCTTTAAACTGCAAAGATTGATAATTTGAGAAAAAAGGAGAACGTCTTTTTTCTATGAGTTTAAGTAGTCTTCGAGATACATAATGTCAAAGTTTTTAAAAAAAGTGTTTTTTTTATTATTTAGTGTTCTTTAAAAACAATTTAGTTTCGTCTTAATAATAAAATACAACAAATATTGTGAATTTTAACAACAAATATTAAATATTTTATTCGAAAATAAACTGAGATACGAAAAAACTCAGAGATAAAAAAAATATGTATAAAGAATATTGTCCAAACGACAAAGATTTATCTTATAAACATTAATTTGGTTCCCTAGTAAAACGTGCTGGAACCACATTTTCTTCAAAAATAAAATCATTTTTTTAAGGAAATGCTCTATCCTTCACGTTTGACTGTTAAATCCTGGATGATTTAGTATAGTAATTTGGTATTTTTAGCTATAACGTTGTCTAGAAGTTCTAAAAATAGGTAATTCTATTGATTATAATGTATTCTTTCCGAATTTCAACCTTGCCGCTTAAAGTTATCTTGTGACAATACCCCGTTGCTCTTGTTGATCCAGGTGTTGCGAATTCATCATCTTTAGAACCAATCAACACCTAACAAACCGATATTTCTTCCACATCATCTGGGATAGGATCAGTTTCGTCCCAATCCTCTTCATTTTCTGTGGATATACTAACAGACTTGCTTCTTCCTTTTCTATTCGTGCAAGGGAACACTACAATTCAGTCTTTCTGCCTCCACTCACTTTCTGACTTGCTTATTTGCATTTTCAAGAAATAATCCGGAAACTTACTTACTTTCGTATGTGTAGACAAGGATGGTGGTGGGATGGAAATGAAACACAATACATTTTATATGTGATATTATGGTCGAATAAAGTAGTTCCTCTGAATCCTCAATGGCATATTACAACATGTAATGTTCTTGGTCTGCGATTGCAAAAATAAACATTGTTTTGACACCTTGATGTCTTATCAATTGAATTTACATTTATTTGAAAGAACATTATCCGCTTTGAACGGAATAACCGTACACGTTTCCTTGACTTTATGCAGAAGCGTAGGTAAAAGTTTGATATTTGCAATAATTAAAGCGTTCATCGTTTATTTTTGAGTCGTGATATTTTTATTGACGTGTAAATCCAAGGCACGTGACATTTGCAATATTCGAATGATTAGTTACCATAAAAGCAAATTATAAAAATCACTAATTACCTGTAAGCTGGTTTTAAGGATACTCTCAACGGATATATCTGAGTTACCGCAACGAATAGCGACTCCTTTCTAAATTCGGACCCATAGTTTCGTGTTTAAATTGTATCGGCTTTGCCAAGGTAAATAAGTTTCTTGGACTTTCACTTTCAATTCATTCTATCGTTCTATGTAAATGTTTGTTAATTGTTCGACGATATCGACACCGAAAATTCGTAAAAGCGGAAAGCCAAACATATATTTGACGTCTGCGCAAATATTACCTTCTTTTTCCAGTTGCACGTATAGTTGGTAGGCATTTTGTATATGGGAAATAAATTATGAATTTGGAGCAAGTGTCTTCTGTTAAAATCTAATTTGCGTAATATCGAGAGGAATTTCTTCAGGTCTAGAAGTTTTAAAGAAATTTACACCACTAGGGACCACACTATCGAATTTGAAGAAAGACTCCTAGGAATTGCCCCACTGACTCATAATTATTTTCTCAATAAAATAACAGTTATAGAGCAATCATTCTCGTGAAAAAGCTGTTTCCTATGTTCAAGAATTTGGGATCGGGGTATCTATTGTTTACCTAGGTAGAGAAGTGCCCGTGTTTCCAATAAGATGTTAATGATTTTGAAATAATTGTGACTCTACAGGCAAGAAACGTGAGATTTTGATAGTGTTACTCTATAGCTTATGGGAGCCGATATACAATACCTGCAACCGATTCCAACTGATTAATTTAATCAAAAATCAAATGCACGTAGAGCATTGGTCATTTATTGTCAGTTGGCTCGCTAGCGGTGGGTATGATTACTAAAGTACTGAAAACGCTGGAAAAAAATCATTACATAGAATCATCTCCAACAGCCCGAAACATTTGTTAGACAAAATTTTGTTATTAGTTGTTTTGGTTATTGGTTGGTTATTGTCAGTTGATAGTAGATTACGTGGCAGCTGGGCGCCCCAAATAGGCGAAAATTCCAAATTTTCAGAACCATAAGAGACAGTTGTCAGGTGACAACATTTCCACCCCAACCAATACGCAACTGATACTTTTTTCTCATAACTGAGTATAACATATTAGCAGCTACAAAAATTTAAGACTATAATGTATATGATTCTTGCTAATATGTCATATCATCTGTAGATATTTCACCTATTTTTGAAATAAATTTAGTATATTCCTTGTTTTTTATTAATAATTTGAAAGATCTACTCTCTAATTTTTTAAAAATAAATCCTTGGTGAAGGTATGACTTCATTGCAAGTGAATGAAGATCATGTGGCAACCTTAACATCATCACTCAGTTTTAAAGGTTTGTACCTGCTAATCGTTGTACTGCTTCTTGGTACGTCTACATTCAGTATAAAATACATGCAGCTGACAATTTTTTTCGTAATATTAACACTAGCCAAAATTTTCAACTATCAGTTATGGTTCTTACAATTTCGATTTTTTGCCCCTTTCCGACCCCCAGCTGACATTTAATGGTGACAATGAATAATCTTCATTAAAAAACAAAATGTTTGTCTATTAAAAATTTCAGGCTCTTGCCTCCCGTCAGTTGAGAGTGCTACAGGTACGTAAGGTAGATAAACTATTTTTGACACAAGGTGGCTACAAATATCATGAAATTGGGGCCACGTAATTGATAAATTATATATTTAGAGGAAAGTCTGGTGCATTTGAGTATTCTGCAAAATTATTGAATTTTGTAATGCCGCTTACTCATATTTTCTTCTTATTTTAAAGGTGTGGTTTGCTAGTGTAGATATAACTGATATCGAAAAGTTGAAGCTTTTTCCCTGTCTATGGAATGTCGGTTAAAAAGAAAACAATTTTAAAAAATTTAAAATATTTCGAAGTTTTTATGCAATGCACACTTATCTTTACCTTTCGTCAATACAAGATGCATCGATATAAAACAAAAATAATGTGAATGGGCAGACGTCAAGGAGTCAGAGACGTACACAATGTACGGCCCAATCCAGAATTGTTTTTGAACTGTACGGATAAAAAATGTCAAAGCGAAAGTACATGAGATTAAACGCAAATTATTGATTTAAATGGCGCTAAATGGAAAGTTATCGGACTTCATTCAACTGACCTACATGACGACCAATTCCGAATCGAAAATAAAAGTGTTCGGTCGCGTCGTTTGCGCAACCGACATGATTTTTGCATTAAACCGACGCGACTGAAAACGAAATAAGAAGGAAGAAGGTACTTGTCCCAGAAATTATTAATCACCTAAATTGACAGAAAATAAATGCATTTCGAATACATATTGAGTCGATATTGTGTGCTTTATGCGGTTTACATTCGTGTTCACACTTCCGTGTTTTTGTAATTGTATTACATTTTGCAAACTTAAAGTGAAACCGGAAAAGACAAAATACCACGAAGTAAGAAACTTAACTGCACATGTGAAAAGCCAATCAAGATGAAACCAATATTCCTTAGAAATCTCCAGAAGCTACAAACTGTATTTAAAAACATTAGTATTGTCGACAATACAGTTAAAGAAGACTTTACTATTTTATTTGCGATTTTTAAAACAATCTTTTTTTATATGTGTTTCCGAGTTCTAAGCACGTCTGAAGAAACTTAGTTTCTTGTACTTTTACAAACTAACAAAAACATAGCGTGTAATGATTTCTTCGGGAGCAATTCGTTTCCTATTAATACCCGGACTTTCATCAATTCGCTTCAAAACTCGTTCCATGGTCTCAGCACATGTTGTACTAATTGGCAAATAATTTCCCACGGATATTTTCTTGAAGGAACGAACAAGGAAGCGTTTTTCATTCGGGAAATGGTAGTCGTAAATAAATATATATCTGTCATTCCGTTTTAACAAATTACTCTAATATGTGCTCGATGAAATAATTCCTTTCATCGTCCAATTAAACGTTCCCTCAATTTTCGAAAAATATTCATTAGTAAATAATGTAAAAAAATTGCATCATTCATCTATACTTGTCCATAAAACAACTAAATTTAATGGCTAATCAAGTATTGAAATTAAAATTACCAAAAGCAAACTTAGTTCCTCAAAAGTTTGATCACTCTACCAGTTATACTGAATGGAAATAAACTGATGTTCTTGTCTAAATACCATAATTATTTAAAATATATCTTTGGTATAGGGGGCTATTAAATATATAGTACCTACAACGGAAACTCCTGCTAGATGAATTATCGAAATCGATAACTTAAAACGTACTCTCAGGAATATTTTTAATTTAATGAGGCTTATTACTAGATAAATGAATTATATATGAAATTACTTAGCAGTATGTGTGCATTCAACAAATTGTGGAAAATGGTTCTATTGCAAATAATAACTGAATATAATAAATAAACACTTACCGTTGGAGTTACGTGAAGCCAAATCCATACGACCAACGGAAGAATTATCTTCATTTTCGCTAAAAACAAAAAAAAAATCATTAGGTATAACAAATTCTGGTCTTATTAAATTTTATTTAAGCCTGATACATTTTAAGGGCGATTTCGTAATATTCTTTAAAATTTATTTTGGTTTGTATAAGGGTAGTAAATAAAATTTGCTCTTTACAAAAAAATTGTGATCCTTTGGTGGTTATTTGCTGAAAAGGCATTTTATGCGTAATGCTTTTGGAACATAAATTGCCTAGGTTCGCAAGTCCGATGAATTATTAATATTCGATAGTTTGCAAGTTTGACAAGGATGTTTACGTTTTGCCTATGCAGTAGCGTACTTAAATAAATTGACTTGGCCGATTCCAAATTAATGGACGCTTTAGCAGGAAACGTTTAATTAATTTTATCGAGTTTTATGCGTCAATCTCGTGAATATTCAACGTGTTTCGCTTCAGTTTCCTTTTTTCGCCACTTCTTTAATGGATTGAAATAATTAACTTCTCTAGGAATCACGCTTATCATACTAGTTTTACGGGTAATAAAAAATAACTGTAAAGCCCAATCGATCGCAAAAATTGACTAGTTCACCGTTACATTGTCTTTATGGCACGTTTTGAGCGAATGCGAAAAATCACAATCTAACAGATTCCAATATAATCCGCAAGTCGTTTCCTTGATGATTTTATTTTGCAGCATTTTAATTCAAGAATGTTTTTAGCGAGTTTTGATTTAGTTTTTATAACATAAAGCATATCTAATTAAACGACCAACTTTAGCGTATTTGTCATTTAATAAAGTTTTTACAAACATTTTATCATTTCGTACCCTGTACATGTAAAGTATATGGTAATCAAATTAGAACCCCTCCCCACCAAAAAAAAATATATATAGGTGCCTTGTTTAGAAATACTTAAAATTGATTTATTCATGAGAAATTGAGAGACGATAAAATAAAATGGTTATCATATACTTATTACTTAATTTAATTTTATTAAGGTCGAAGTTTTTAATTTCAACTTGTGTTGGTGGCACTTGTTTATTTTTATTTGACAGGCTGAAGTCATTATTTAGATCATTTTTTTTAAATATAATAAATTTAATATTTTGTAAGGTATTGACCGAATATAACATGCGCATATATATATAGAACTTTAAGTTGCAATAAAACAACGAAGGATTATTCGATTGACATGAATTTTATTTATGCGAAAGATAATCTTGTGGCATTACATGTTAAATATGATTTCTGGCATATGACCGCCACGGCTGGCACGGATGTAATCCAATCTGGACGTCAATTTTCGATGACTTTTTCCAAGATTCGTGGCCGTATATCGGCAATACCACGGCGAATGTTGTCTTCCAAATGGTCAAGCGTTTGTGGCTTATCCGCATAGACCAATGACTTTACATAGCCCCGCAGAAAGTAGTCTAGTGGTGTTAAATCACAAGATCTTGGAGGCCAATTCACAGGTCCAAAACGTGAAATTAGGCGGCCACCAAACGTGTCTTTCAATAAATCGATTGTGGCACGAGCTGTGTGACATGTTGAAACCACAACTCCTGAACATCATGGTTATTCAATTCAGGAATGAAAAAGTTAGTAATCATAGCTTTATACTGATCACCATTGACTGTAACGTTCTGGCCATCATCGTTTTTGAAAAAGTACGGACCAATGATTCCACGAGCCCATAAAGCGCACCAAACAGTCAGTTTTTCTGGATGTAACGGTGTTTCCACATACACTTGAGGATTAGCTTCGCTCCAAATGCGGCAGTTTTGTTTGTTGAAGTAGCCATTCAACCAGAAGTGCGCTTCATCGCTAAACAAAATGCGCTTATGAATATCGGGAACAACGGCAATCTCGTTTTGGGCCCATTTAACGAATCTACGCCTTACTTGATGATCGTTTCAATTCTTGCGCGAGTTGGATTTTGTAAGCACGTAAACCAACATCCTTCCGCAAAATCTTCGATAAAGTGGATGGACACAGATCCAATTCCTGTGCTCGTTGGCGGATGGACTCATTCGAATCTTCCTCAATGCCACGCTCTACAGCAGCAATAGCTTCTTCTGTACGCACCGTACGGCGTCTCTGGGGATGCGAGCTATCAATAAGAGTAAACGTGGTGCGAAAACGTTCCATGGTTAATCGAATTAACTGCTCTGATGGACGATTTTGTCGACGATAAAATGAACGTAGTGCGCGATACGTATTCCGCACAGAACCATTATTTTCGAAATAAAATTCCACTATTTGCAAGCGTTGTCCAGGCGTGAGTCTATTCATGATGAATTGCCAAATCAAACTGAGAATAAATCACCTGACAGATGTTAAATCGGTCGCCATCTTGAACAGTAATGCCAACTTAAAGTCCTATATCGAAAAAAAAAAAAAACACCTATTAGATACATACATACATATAACTTAAGAGTATGCCGCCTTAATTGTTGTAAAAACACAAGTGGTACAGATTCAATTTGAATTCGAAAAAATATAATAAGAGTAAAAGTCATTAGCACCCAAAAATAACATAACTATATATTGACTAGATGGCACTATTCCTAACTTCTTTATTATTGAAGCCACGAGGTCGGTTAAATTAAGATGATTAAACTGTTTAAAAAACCAATTGACTCCATGTTATGATTCTGCCTGACTTTTGCTTCTTTTGCTATAACATTTAATAATAATAGTAATAATAAAATAAGGCACTATTCGTTGCTTAAATTATTGCTAAAGCACCTCCTTAATGCTCAGAACATTCATTTCAGTATGCCATGATACTCAGATTTAAAACGAAAATCTAATCAGCAAACGATGGCCGACCAGAAAATGCAATAATACCGGAGATTATGCCACTTTTTCCATGAAGTGGCAACGTCGCGTTAGAGCGTTGTCTCTTAACATAATTGATCAAATTTTAAGAACGTTTTCGATGAACTACCAGCCGCCATTAACCGCCTTGTATGTACAAAACAACTTTTGAGTAATGGCTGTAAGGGATATAAAATCAATGGAAAAGAAAAAGGCATAAGAAATACCACGGTTAATTTAAATGCCCCTAGGTACAGAAAGGTTATCGCTTGACGTTATTAATGCAAGTGCGTTATAATTCAAACGTAACAAAGCGTCTGCAAAAATGAGATACATTCAACATTGTGTCGGGAAAATGTCTGTACAGATAACAATCTATCTTGGTCTGGCCTACATTAACGGGTTCTACGTTACCAGCTTTTTTCTCTAAGTATTTTTAAAGTGTATCCTAATGCAGGTCCATTATATGCGAGACGCGCGCGTAACGGAAACTTTTCGTGAGTCGATTTTACAGTTTTAGGTTTTGGGTTAACAATAAGTGTGTAAAAGGCTCCGAATTAAACGGCTAATTTTATGCGTATTACTCGTTAGATTTTTTCGAATTTGCGAATTGGTTTTGTGGGAAAATTATAGCAAACCAGACTGTATATACGGTGTGTTATTATTGTTTATCTTTTGTTATTTTATATTAATAAAACTGAAAATATTCTCAAATAAAATAATATTGAAATAACACAAAATGCTATTTTCTGACATTTTTTTTTCAATTAAAAAAGACGTATTTTTTTAATATCACAGTATATATCAACGCATTTTTTTAAGAAGTTAGATTATTACTTTTATTTTTTACAAATATTTAAAAAAATATATTTTTTCTACTCCCGTCTGTAAATTACTTAATTACACACCCTAGCGTGCGTCAAACGTCACTTTACCACGTCAGTTTCCTTTCCCACGGATCCGAGCCATTTCGAACATTTCCGAGATTTTACCGCACGGGTTTGGGAGCAATCGGTTGTTTTCGGAGATAGTTTCCACGCTTTGAATTTTGACGTTTGTCAATTCTGACGGTCATGTCAGTGAATGTATTTGTGTTGTTTTACGAAAATATACCCAAAACTAACGGTCATAGAAAAAGTATAGTATGCAACACGTTCGATAAACTTTTTAAGTCACTCGTTTATTAATGAGCAAAGCAAAGATTATTCTATTGCTAATACTATTATGTCACTAACCGTCTTTTTCTGTTATAAGATTTAAATTTAAAAATTGTATTGTTTTTTAACTTGTGCTGCTCATCCTAATGTTGTAAACGTTAGCAGAAATAAGCACAGTGCTATAAAAATTAATGAGTCACATTTTATTTAAATACTTGCATAATGTATGTAGTAGTCCCATGATGTGATCCTTGTGAAGTAGTATTCTAAAAATAAAGCGGACATCATCCAAATATTTGTTTTAAAGTTCTTATATACAATGAAAACCATTAATCAATTTTCGAAGGTAACCTGGTCGATGTCAACAAAATTAGTATAAATTTTTTTTATTTTGTCTTTGTAAATATTTCTCTGCTAGATATCGAATCAGAAATTAATGGTTTCCAAATTATGGTTTTTCATTTGGCGTAAAAATAAAAAGGAAAAATTAAAATGAAATGTTTGCAATAATTCGATTTTAATTTGTGCACCGCGTCCCATATAAAACTACTCATTATATTTCAGGAAATCTAGTAGAGATAGAGAAAAAAGTTAAATACCAAAGTTTATGGAGATATTTTAAAAATATAGTATTTGCTGTGCAGCATTATCTTTTTATTTTTAAATTAAGAATTCTGAATACTATGTCAAATATTAACTTAACTTACCTAACAAGTTTTTGATCACCGTGTAGTTTTTAATTTTTAGAATATCAACACCGACCACTAAAGTATAAGGAAATCAATCCTAAATATATAACAAAAGCTCTCAGTCGGGGAAATCCATAGAATTCTATAAATTCATATAACATACATATGTATTAATGTACAGGGTATTCTGCTAAGTTAAGAAAGTTGTTACTTGTCCACAAAAATTCAAACATCACGTAAATATAACAATATGTTGTTTTAAAAGAATAAGTGAATCGATATATCTTGGTTACTATATACATCACTAATCGTAGTAGGCTTTTAATTAAATATCAATAGCGGCGTTACATTCGTCTTTA